TTTTCCCTCAGTTTTATTTATTTCAGCCTTGAGTTTGATTATTTACTGCTACTTACTCTTTTGGAGTATTATTTCTTCTTTTATTTATGGAGCCTTCAGGAGCACTGTTAAGCTACTAGTCTTGAGATCTCTCCATTTTTTTTAAGGTAGACACTTAGTGATATCAGCTTGCCTTTTGTAACCATCTTCATTGTGTGCCATAAGTTTGGATAAGTGTATTTTCATTTTCATTCAACTCTGGAAAGTCTTCCACATGTTTCCTATTTATGTCTTGTGTTATTTTTATTCAATTGTGACTTGTTTAGTTCCAATGAGTTTGTAAGCTTTTTGTTGTTTCTTTTGTTGATGTTCAGATTCAATTTGTGGTGTTCAGATAAGATGCAGGGTATTTTTCCCATTATCTTGCATTTTTTGGGATTTGTTTTGTGTTTGAATATGTAGTCCATTTTGGGAAAAGCTCCTAAAGGTGCTGAGAAGAAGGTATATTATTTTGGTTTAGGTGAAATGTTTTGTAAATATGTTATGCCCATTTGTTTTATAACTTCAGTTAGCTCTAGCATTTCTCTGTTAATTTTTTGTCTGATAATCTCTCTAATGGTGAGAACAGGGTGTTGAAATCTCTCCTGCGATCAGTGTTTCAGTGTAAGAGGGTCAGTATGTGATTTAAGCTGTAGTCTTCCTTATTTTATGAACTTGGGTGCAAGTTTTTTTTATGAACTTGCTTGCTGCCTGCATAGATGTTAAGAATTGGACTGTCTTCTTGTTGGGTTTTGAATTGATGAATATGTAGTCTCCTACCCTATTTCTTCTGATCAGTTTTGGTTTGAAGTGTACTTTGTCAGGTATTATAATGTCTACACCAGCTTGTTCTTTGATAAGCATCTCTTTCTTTAGGTAGGGAAATTTATGTCTGTGATTTTGTTCAAAATATTTAGTGTACCTTTGACCTATGCTTCTTATCCTTCCTCTACTCCTATTATTCTTAGATTTAGTATGTTCATAGTGTCCTTGATTTTCTGGATGTTTTATGCTAGAAGTTTTATAGATTTGACATTTTTTGATCAAAATACCCATTTCTTTGATGGTATATTTAATATCTAAGATTCCCTCTTGCATTTTTGGTAATGTGTTGGTGATGGTTGCCTCGGAGGTTACTGTTTGCTCTCCTAAGTTTTTTTCATTTCCAGATTTCTCTGAGCCTGGGTTTTCTTTACTGATTCAGTTTCCACTTTCATGGTTTGAACTGTTTTATTCACTTTCTTCCTCTGTTTGTTTCCCCAATTTCTTTAAGGAATTCATTCATTTCCCCTTGAATGACCTCTATCTATTCACAAAGACAGTTTTAAGGTCTTGTGTTTTGCATTTGTTATAATATTCAGGGTAGGTTTGCTAGGCTCTAGTGGAAACATGTTGTCCTGGCTGTTACTGATTTATTTTGTTTTTATGCTTGTTTCTAGGCTCCTACGATTGGGAAGATTATAACTGCAGGTGCTGATTTCTGGTCCTGTCATTTTGGGCTGATGTTTTGTTCTCTGGTTTCCTTTTCCTTCACTGGTTCTTAGGGGAATGTGTTTGCTGTGTGTTGTCTGATAAGGAATTATTTTGAAATCTTGATTGGTGTAGCCACTGAGAGTTACGGGTAAAGTGAGACCCCAGTTATGAGGAGCCAAAACTCAGGAGTGAGAATTGGCTAGGGTGAGCTGGCTCAAGAGGGAGGAAATCGGCGAGTTCCACCAGGATCTGCTTAGTTCCCTGGGAATGAGGGCAATGGTGATGAGGAAAGACTAGAACTGTAGTCTGCAGTGCTGGGGATGAGATTAGGGAGTTGGCTATAGAGGAGAGGAGGTGGAGTGATGACATGAAGCTCGCCTATCTGCTTCGCTGGCCTACTTGCTTCTCTTTCAGGTGCTGCTGTGGGTTCCTACAGAAGGTCTCCTGGAGTTGGGTACCTTGCCTACCTGTTTCCCTGGCCAGAGCAGTCTGTGGTTTTCCAGGGAATGCCTTTTGGATTTGGGGACTGAGGTAAAGCAGTGAGTGTGAGGAAGGAAGTTTGGAGGGGAAGATCTGTGTGATTCCCTGGAAATGAGGGGAGCCGGGGAAGAAAGGCAGCAGCAGGTAGGCTACTCAGCCAGGGAAAAGACTGGGGTATTGGATTTGGAGGGTATTAGTGAAAGTTGAGTTCTGCACTTAGCCTACCTGCTTCTCTGGCTAGAGTGCCCTGCTGGAAATTTTGGATCCAGTTTATTTCTCTAGTTATTAAGTTGTTACTATTAACATTGTCTGAAGTAGACTAACAAATGGGATAGGGAACAACTTGCAGTGTGATATCTGGAAATTTAATATATCAATTTACTATAAGTCAATTTGACTTATATAAGTATTAAATGTTACTATAAAAATTGTAGAAGTGTAAGAAGTATCTTGGTGGCAAAATATTTGTGTGATGCCATGGGTTTAATTTCCATCTCTGCAGTACATTAGACATAGTAAATACTGGTTTTACTTTGCTTGGAAAAAAATTCTACCTCCTTTAGTGACACAAATATTAAGATTATTCCTCCTTCAACAAAGCTAAATATATTCAAGTATTTTATCCATCCCATATCCAATTACAGCAAGTTAAAAGACACATGAAATCAGCCCTAGTATTTTCTGTGTTAAATGACAACTACAATTAAAATTACAGTTTGGGATCTCAAACTCACATTGCTTGAATCACATTTTAGGTTTCCCAAAGTCAGAAAACTTACACATGCTCCTCAGGAAGACAGGACTTTTAGCCTTTCATTTGCCATGTGAGCATGGCGTTGTCTGTCTGTGTTATGCTGAGGATAAAATGACTTATTCCAGAGAAAATATTCAACCATGACTTTTCCATTGCACGGATTCCATGGATAGGTGTTTCATATTTTTGACTAATATAAGAAATTAGAAAACCGTCTGTCATGGTGTCCTTTCATTTCTTTTTTTCGTTTTCTTTTACTTTAGCTTCTCTTGTTTCTCTTAGTTATAAAAAGGGAGGAGTAACAATTTAGACTATTCAGCAACCTGCTTCACTCACCATTATAAATTTTCCTTTGCATAGTTCTTGAGGCTGAAAATTCAGCATCCAATCAGAATGTAGACATTCATTTCTGGTGATGGCCCAGCACTTTCTTGGCTATCTGACAGCTTGCTGCTTTCTGTATGTTCATGTGAATTTTTCTCTGTGGGGATATACATGTTGTCTCTCTTCTTTGAAGAACCCCAGTCAAAGTAGTTTTGGTCCCCACCCTTATGATATCCCATTAATTTAATTCTTTATAGAAGGGCTACTTTGCCAAAATTACTTTTTTGAATTTTTTTTGGGGGGGGGCTGTGTTGTGTAAGGTTACTGGTCTGGACTCCATATCCTTGGTAACAATTTTACTTCCTTTAAATTTAAAAAATACCATTTAATATGCCTCCAAAAACCTAAAAGCTTTCTGCAGAGATGTTATCAATTCACTTTTGCTGAAAGATGGTTTGCCATACTTTTTTCCTGCTGTGGCCAATTTGAGTAATTTAATTATTTTTCTAGAAATAATGCATCTGAATTCTTTGAGACTTATTCAACTGGTCAAAAAATAAAACTTGAAATGCAAATACCCATGGATCAATGCCAACACATTAAATTATTGACTTGTTTTGTTTTCTGACCAAAGAGTTTAATTTTCTCAGCAACTTGAGCCAATTTATCTCTACTGATAGCCAGAGCCTCACATTCTGCTTTAGAAAGACATTTCACACTTGGTCCACAGGAAATTATTGGACATGCTGTGAATAATGGGCTCTTTAATTAAATATAGCCAGAGAAAAACTGGGGAGAACAAAGCAGGGATTTTTTTTCCCTTGTCAAACTTCAAATAAGTAGTAATTTGCTAAACTTTGGATGTTTTGTTGCTGAGATCAGTTATACATTGTTTTATAAATGCACTTGAAATTAAAGTCCTTTAGTTAATGGATTATCATAGAGGACTGAGGAACTGCCTGTCTGTACCGTGACTCAAGGTACTTTGCCAAATATGGTTCAAATCTTTAATTTATGTTTGGTATGGGTTCTCTCAACTTCCTCATGCATCAATATCCCTGTTGCCTTCCCATTTTATCACCTTTGTATCTGTGCCCTAAGCATGTGCTCAAACTTTGATGTAGCAATCTTGTTTTACATCTATCAATACTTGTCAAAACCTTAAACCTAAGCTCTTTTAACTAAGGGTCTTTTTGTAATGCAATGTTTTATAATAAAGTTGATTTAAAAATTAAATTAAGAAAACTCCGTGAAAAAGCATAATGAGTTTACGGTATTTTATTGTGTCATATTAGTTCCAATCTTCCTCTGTATTTGCTTATGAGTAAAGCATCCTCTGTTACTTTTCATGATTGTTGGATGTGCATGTTTCTAATTCAACATGTTATAATCTTGTTTTTTCTTTGACTCTATTCTGTTCTCTTGACTTGGCACTATGGTGTTAAGTACAGACATTTTAAATAATGTCTACTTTGTCTCCTTAAGTACTTCATCCAAAATATCATTTGAAAATATTGTTCTCTAAGATTCTTCCTTTATTTCTCTTATCTTTTCATTTTCATTCAATTTTAATTGATTGTGTTTTCTTCAGTTTCGATTGATAAAGACTTAAAAATTCTTAAATCTCTCCCTACTCTTCATAGTATATTCACATTTGTACTATATAGTTACACTTCTCAAAAAGCAATGATTATAAAACTGAAATTATGATTTTTTTTATAGGATTTGTCATTAAAGACTTTGACTAAGTCTTTGACTTTTCAGGCTGAATTACTGACAATTTCAATTGGGGGGGGCAGGCTCTATAGAGAAACCTGCCCTTCCAGAACTTGATTTGAGGAAAAGTCATTCTATGCACTATACTAGCTAAAGGAACTACAATCAAAGATTTTGGCCGTCATGGTCCATTCTCTTTTTTACTATTTATATTTAAAGCTTATGGAACTCAATCTTTTTTTTTTTTCAGGCTTCAGGGCAGTTTATTTCCATAATGAACCCATTTCCAGGAAACACACTTTTTCACACTGGTTATTACACTTGCAATGTCTCCAGGACTTTGTCTCTTCTCCCAACAAGGCCATGCATCCTCCGGGCAGAGCACAGTCCTTATATTCTTTTTGGCATATACCTCACAGAGGCAGCATGGTCCTCTGCGCACTTGCTGATTTAAAAACAGTTAAACACCTAAAGGCCAGGTTACATCAATGGCCCCAGGGTCCTTCAACAAGCACAGTTCTAGATACATTGGAAACTTCAGTAGGGATATGAACTCCATCACGGACAGTACCTCCAGCCATAATGGACCAGCCTGTGAATCTGCCCCATCCTGGACGCTATGGTTTCCCCCGAAGGCTGAGACTGCAGGAAGACAGGAATGTGTGGCAGTCCAGTGTCTGCACACCCGACTAGCCAAGAGGCCTCTGAGACTACAGCAGCAACGTGGTCAGTGCAAAGGGATGCTGGGATTCTAGCTCCTCACCTGCAGACCCTCAAGTCAGGGTATACCGGATGTTTTAATCTAACCAAAGTAACCAGGGAAGGAACATACCAGCGTAACATCTGACTGTACAAGATGCCAATCTTAAGAATGATCCATGCATTACATGGACATTTGGTTCCTGATTCATACTCTGCAAGATACCTGAACATGGACCAAGAATGCTCAGCTCTAGGTGGTGGCTGCTTTGTATTAAGGTTTATTTACAGAATTTCACCATAAAATAAGAACTACCATGTTTTTAAAAAAAAATCAGCACTGGTCCTCTTAACGGCCATTAGGAGAAGCTGTTAAGCTACAAGGATGCCTCTGTTCCACTGCCCAGACTGGCTATGGTTAACTAACATCCGGCTCAAAGCCTGTGTGGGGACTGAGTACTGAGTCTACAGTCACCCTGGATCCCAGCAATCTAATCGGTGGGCAGGGACAGTGCAGGGCTGGGGCAGTCCTCTGCACCTCTATAAGAGGTGCGTGAGAGCTGGCTAGTCCGACCGTCTAGCTGTACCGTCCTTTGTAAGGGGACCAGCAGGCCACCCACCCCACTGTCTACACATGGTTACTCTGGCAAAGGTAAGGCTTCCTTCCATTCTCTGGACCAGCTGGACTAGCCGAGAGGGTAAGTGGAAAGCAGCTATTGGAACTCAACAACGGTTTCATTTCTTCCAGCTTCTTCCTTTTCCTCTTTTGGACTCCTTGTCTTTGTCTGGTTTTGAAGGCTTTGAAGATCTTGTCTTTTTCTTGATCATGGCATCGGTCTCTATTGCATCCTGCTCTTTCTCATCAGACTGACTGTCTTCTTCTTGTAACTCTTCATGGTATTCAGAATCCAGTGCTGGGCCTGTGCTGAGTCTCAATGTCTTTACTACCTGAAGTGAGTATGGGGTCAGATGGACCTCCTTGTTATAAGCTCTTGTGAAGGCTGCTTTCACCTTGGGATCCAGCCTGGAAAAGGGACTGGGCTGGCCACCCCAGCTGCTAACTTCCATGATATTCTCAAAGTCTTCTCTCATCAAAAAGTATGTGTCCATAAGTGTGACAACATGCTGAACTCCTTCTACCCCTTGTGAGGCCAAGGGTCGCACAAGGGCATCTCTGATGTGTGACAGGTAATCCATGTTCACTGTCCTTTTGCTGGAGTAAGTTCTGAGACTCATGTGCAAGGCTAGGTCCTGAACAATCCGATCATGTTTGCCCGTGGATGAGTACTTCCCCAGCCAGCTTGGGAAGGAGGGAAACTGAGTCATATAGTCCCTCATCAACTCTCCAGGAAGAACACTGGCATAAATGGCCTGTGTGGGCAGAAGACTCCAGTTTTGCTTACTCCGGATCTGACTGTCCACTAAGTCACCGTCACAAATGCTGTCTGCGGCCCGGCTTATAAGCATCAGGTGCTTCTTCATTTCCCCCCCTGCAGCCACAGGCTTCACATGGAGGTAGTTCTCCTGGACAAAGAGGGGGGCTATGGAATAGTCATGGAAAAAGAGATCCGATTTGTCCATCAGGGACATGTGTGCAGTCTCCTCTCCAGCTGCAAACACTTTCCGGGCAACATCAAATGGACCCAGTTTGATGTCCTTCTTGGCCCTCTGAGAGTCAGCCTTGGCTTGGTCGTAAGTCAGTGCCTTGCTCTGTGCACACCACATGCTCATATTATGTAAAACCT